AGCAATTTCCTGCTCAAGAATTCCAGGGCCCCCAAAACTTCTCCAATTTGTAAGGGTTCTTCCTGCCAATTTCACTGTCAAACGTGACTGCTGCCCACCTCTCTCTTATCAGGAGGCACAAAGGACTCAAAGCTGTACTACCTCTCTCTTGGGTTTTTTTTTGGGTTTTTTTTGTTTGTTTGTTTGTTTGCAGAACTGGAACCGGGGATTGAACTCAGACCTTGCGCTTGCCAGGCAAGCGCTTATTCTACTGAGCTATATCCCCAGCCCCTACCTCTCTTTTGTGATCATTGTGTTTGGCCCCTGACCTGCTGGTAGAAATGAATGCATCATAGTACGGTTGGCATTTGACTGTGGGGCCATCATCTGGGAATGAAGGTTGCCATGGTGATTGTCCTTTCCTACTTGTTTCTGGCTAGAGATACATTACCAGCTCTCAGACTCATATGGGCTATGATGAGAAGGGGTGGGGGGGTTACAACTCTCTCGCTCTCTTTTACTTTGTTATTGTTGTTGATACAGGGTCTTGCCATGTAGTTCAGGGTGGCCTTGAACTCACTATATGGTCCAGGCTGGCCTTGAACTCCTGGCAGTCCTTCTGCCTCAGCCTCCTGAGTGCTGTAGGAGTGTGCCACCACACCTGGCTCACAACTCTGTCTCTTGCAGATGTATTATACTGGTGCAGGCATGAATCCTGCCCGCTCCTTTGCTCCTGCCATTCTTACTCGGAACTTCACCAACCACTGGGTGAGTGAGGGGAGAAGGGTTAGATCTTAGAGGCCTTCAGGATGGGGCTAGACTGAAGGCTCCAGGTTTGGTTCCTGCCTTCTTTCTGGAGTACTGGCTGCCTTGTCAGCACTGAGCTAAGGGGGATGTCTGAGGGCATGGTATGCCTGTTTGAATAGGTTGCATTATTTTGCTAGAAAGAGAGGGTCTTAAAAAAATGAGACAGGGTCTTAACTGGAAGTCATGATACATGCCTGTAGTCTTAGTGCTCAGGAAGCTGAGGTATGAGGTCAATTGAGCCTAGAAGTTCAAGTCCAACCTGGGCATTATAGTGCAATCTTTTTTATTATGAAAGAAAGAAGGGGAGCAACCATGGTGGTACCTTACCTGCAGGCCAAGGCAGGAGGATTGTTGAACGTTAAAGGTCTGAACTATATAGCCAAAGCCTGTCTTAAAAAAAAAAAAAAAAAGACAAAGGAGGAAAGGAAGGAAGAATGGAACAGAATAGAAGTAGAAGACGCTTGCTCATATTGTTCTTTCTCTGGATATACAAAGTCAAAAACTTCTGTTCTTGGAACTCAAGATGTGTATGAGTGCAAAACAGTCTGGCCCCCATCCCAGTTCTCGCACTTTACTAGTCTGTGTGTGACTACTGGTAAATAATTCAGTCATTCTGAGCAACAGTTTCTCTAACTATAAAATGGAGTATTATGAGAAATAAGTGTGAAAATTATATACATGAAACATTTAGTACAGAATCTAGCATTCAATAAATATTTATGTTTATGTTAGGGCTGGGGATATAGTTCAATGGCACAGCACCTGCCTGGCAAGTGCAAGGTCCTGAGTTGGATTCCCTGTACCAAAAAAAAAAAAAAAAAATCTATATCTATGTATAGATTTAGATTAGATAGATAGATGTGTGTGTGCATGTGTTGCATGTATGTATGTTGTTTTGGCCATATACAAGATTTTA